CCCCAAAACCCCAAAACCCCATGCAATACATTTCATATATAAATCGTGAGAGATTTAAATTTTTAAATTCAAATCAAAGACTCAAAGAATATGAAATATAACAGTTAAATTATGTGTGCCAGAAAAAGCTTATTGATAGCCCCATTGCTATTAGCACTAATTTCAGGTCGAAGCATTAATGTTTTGTATAGAACAAGAGCTTGGCAGTCATCTACTGCCTCTGGTGGAGATGCTGGACGAGCTGTTGATGGAAACACTTCTCCCATTTACTCAGATGGGTCATGCACTCATACAAATTCAGGAGTGGGCAACTGGTGGATTTCTGATATGTACGATGTCAAACACATCTAAACAGTAATGATTTTCAACAGAGAAGATGCTGGCCCAGAAAGATTGACTAACTATTAAATCAGAGTGGGAAATAGCTCAGACCCTGGTTCAAACCCTATATGTTTCACAAACTAAGGGACAGGAGGTGGGATTTTTTCTTGTGATTAATGGGGAAGATATCTTGCAATTGTTTTAAATTCAAACAACCCTCTCACTCTTTGTGAAGTAAAAGCATTTGAAGGTCCTAACATTGCTCTGAATCATTAGGCTGTGTAAAGTTCAACATCAAGCGGAGGAGACGCAAACAGACCTATCAGAAATAACTTCTTTTCTTCTTACTGGGGGAAGAATACTTGCACTCATACAAACTAAGAATCACAACCTTATTGGTACGTTGATCTTGGTAGTGAGTAACTTATTGCTGGAGTCTCTATTGCCTCAAGATGGGATTGCTGTGGTGAAAGAACTACAAACTATTAAGTAGTAGTAGGAAACTCAGCTGATGTCAACTTAAATACTCCATGCTCTGGTAACCCAACTAGAGATGCAGATGTTTATTGCGGACTCTCGGGAAGATTTGTAGGAATTAAGGCCTCAAATTAAGTTCTTCATTTGTGCGGTATTGCTATAATTACTGGAACAGTGGGAGCTCCTACAGGCTATTGGGAGATGGTGGGCTCTGGAGAAAATATTGTTCACTCCTTTGAAAGAGGGGTTTAGATGACGGATGGAACAGAAACAACTACGAGTGATACTCATACAGTATCCATTTCAATTGAGTAGTCCTTTTCCTTCTTTAAGATTGGAGAATCTTCGGTCTCAATGGGCTATGAATATTCACGCTCAGTAGCTAGCACAGTTAGAAAAGATATTACCAAGCATGTCACCACTGGTTGTTCATCAACCTGCATGACTGACGGCTCTCGCATTGTTTATGTTTGGTAATGGATGATGAAGGGAACCAATGATTGGGGTGCTGTTGATGAGAGCTGGAACTTATTCACTTGCAACTTTGTCTGCAGATACGAGCCGACATCACCAAGATGCCCATTAACCAAATGTGCTGATAAGGAATGCAACACTTGCACAAATGGAGTCACCTACAGGGCTTAAGTCTCTTCAAAGAAGCAATCTTCTTTAATTTAATTGTTAGCAGCCCATTGAAAGAGATTATAAGCTCTCAGAGGACTGATTGGCTCATTTGAAATTAAGAAATTTGAGAGAGTATTCTTACTTGAGCTGTTAGGTTCTAGAATACTTTGAATTAAAATACCGCTTGAATATAATTAAAAATTAAATGTTACATAATTTAAACAAAGTATACTAAGTCGATGAGTTCGCAGCGATTCCTAAATTTATTATGGAAAGACTACATAAAATTGAAAATAAACTAAGATGCACAAAATTGGTTTTAAATCAAAGAAGTTCGGCTTATTAAAACTTTTTTCTACTACTGTTGAAGCATGAGGAGCATGAAGGATATCTGCGAGTTCTTCGAGAAGATGGAATATTTATTTGTCCTAAAGGACTAAGATGATACCCTCATTGTGAATAATGGAAATGAACGAAGAGCCTTCTCATTTGCAACTTCTATGGTTTTATTTCAATGGTTTGAAGTATTTTGTGGTTGAAGCAGTAGTTAGACCCTACCAGAACTCCATTAGAGTGGTTTAGGATCAATCATTTTGGTTAATTTACTGAATTTATTGATTCCTCTGCAAAAGGGGTAAACCTACCATTCAGTCTAAATGGTAGTTTAGCGATAAATTGCTCATTATCCACAAGAATTTTATGAGAAACCTAGCTCTAATAAGCTCCAACACTCTGGCGTTTTGAATAATCAGACCTTGCTCTTTATCAATGGAAAGATTTTATGCATCCTCACATTTTTAAAAAGGCTTAATTTTAATAATTGGAAACACTAGCTAAAGTGGTTGCTAGAATTGAAAAATCCGAAAAAGAAGAGCTCAAGAGTGAGGAGCCACTAGATACTAGATAAAACTCAATTAGTGACGAAGAATCAGTGATAGCCGGAAAGTCAATACTCAGTCGTAATAAGCTCTGATATCATGGGGATTACAAGGGAAAGCTTATATAGTCTTAACTGGGCAGTCATTAAGTCTCATTTTAACTACTGCACTGATGAACCATGTGGATCATGCATTGAAGTTAAATGCTCGATCGCATATTTGCTCCTTTGTACAGCATGCTTACTCCTACAAACAATATTCTTCCTTTTACAGATCTCATACTTGCTATCATATTTGTACACTAGATATTCCATTAGTCAAGTGGCTTTCTGCACCCAAGGTAAAGACTAATAATAAAAGATAGAGATTTTGATGTACAGTATCTGTAAAGACTCTAAGTGATCTTACTAAATAGTATTAAACAGCCGGTTATTTGCAAAATAAACCAAAATATCTTACTGGTTTAAAACGATCACTTGCCTATGATGATGCTCAGCTTCCTCTCAAAGGTATCCTTGATAACGAAAGTGGTGATGATGAGGAAGATGAGTAAGATAATGAAGTCGATGATGAAGATGAAATTAAGATCATTAGAGTGCAGAATCACACAAAAAAGAAATATCTAAGAAGTAATCCACATGAAGAGGAAAGCTAAAATTGTACGCATAAAAATAAAAGAAAAAGAATAGTAGCAGACATTACAACAAGAGAAGGATGATCAATTTGACTATAGAAATTATGACGAGCTCATAGTAATCCTTATAAGATAAATAAATCTGATAATTTCTTTACCGTTCCTAGAGCTGCCAAGAGGGGACTTCTTATTTCCGTAGAGATTGACACATCTTCATCTCAAGCGTGCTGCTATTATTACCGTTTCCTCTTATGATTGCCTGGATATAGTACTTTATTAAATGCTTTGCAGGTTATTAGTTCATAAATTGAAGAAGTAATACTCCTTGCTGATCATGTAAATGATATTGCTCACTTTTTAAGTATTATGCTGTATTTAATGCTTCGAAAAGAGGAAATTTAATCAACTTATTGATTGTATTACCATATTATTTAAGCTTGTAAATACTTTACTATAAGTATAAATGGTTTTACTAATAGTTTCTTCATTATTCTTGGACCATCGGAATGCTCAAGCTGTTGTTAGTAAAATTAATTAAGAAAATAAAGATTATCTTATTTAAAAATTATCTTTATACATAACTTATAGGTATGATAATTTTGATGCTAAATGGTTCGAGAATGACTGGGAACCAAGCACACAGCAGCTCTCGGATATCTTTGGATAGCAAACTATTTTTAATGTGCTTAAACTTTCTCTATTGGTATCAAGTTGAATGCTTGTGACTTTTTCGATGTTGCTAATAGATTTACATTAATAATTGAAATAGAAGCATGCTTCGGAATAGTGTACAAAAAAAACAGGTCAACACAACCACTGATAGCTCTTAATGAATTAGGCAAATTGTTTGCTTTAATATCAGGTAGAGATGGTATAATTCAGAAGAATAAAGAGCAATTATATCAATTTTGCATTGCTCAATGGATTGATACGATTGAGGGATTCAAGGCTACTTCTGGGATAGCTGTTGTGAACTCAGTCAAACAGTTCCTAGATGCTTTATAGACAAAGCATGGCGAATTAACTCGACTTAGCTAAGATATAACAAATAGTGATTGTGATAACTTTGGTTAAATCATGGGCGCGATTGAAATAAAGCCGAATTGTAAGTCATATGATCACAATTATGGATTGTTCCTTCTGGTCAAGGTAAGGCTAGAATCATTGTTGGTATTATACTTATATCATTTTGGGTTTTGCTAATTCTAGAATCCATGTGGTATTCCCTAATGAATACCTTGTGAACAGAGGCTCAAAAGACTTCGAAGATTTGTTACTGTTTGTGGATGATTCAAAACTATCAGATCGCTTAGACATCAATGACTTGGAAGCTTGAAAAAACCTCCTGATATAAGTGGATTAAGCTGGTATCTCTCTGCGTAATATTCCATACGAATTCAAGGTACTCATTGTTTAATCTCAATGAATATTTTTCATTGCTACTCCTGCTGTCTTTAATATGGAAAAGGAGGAAGCTGAGTTTTCTAGAGTTTAAGTAGACTCTTTTACTGATGATGCAATGATCGGAAAGAACTGATATGCTAATGGTAGATGAGAACTATAGGGCCTCTAAAGTAGAATACAAAACAGCTTTTCATAAATAGCTTGCTCTAACAACTCTTGTTCTTCTATATTGTCCTTAGCTCCTAACTCAAGCACTTATTAATGCAAGCATTCCATCCTTAATTAAAAAAGAAGGTATTGACTACAAACTCCATCGTCAGCTCGATCAGTTAAACAATGAAACCGGCTAGCATCCTTTTATTATTTCAGAGACTATGAATTAGCGGTTTTTGATTAATGATAAACATTATTCCCTATAACTCTCGTTATTGCTTTGAGTTTTAATAAAAATATAGATGCCATGCAGGGTTTAATTGGGTTGGAAAATTTGTGGCAGCATCAAAAGGGTAAAATTTACAGATGTCAAAATCAATGATGTAGCTAAAGAAAAGACTCATTTAGTTTAAAAACTCTGTTTAATCCTGCACTAAAGATAAAGCAAGTCCCACTAAAATCAAAAGTGATAAAAAGGTAACCCCGATCAAAAATGGAAAGAATGCCAACAAATAGTCATAATTATTAGGTAATAGATCCTATTAAAATCTCACATAGATATCATTACTCTGAAATAAAGTTAAAATTAAAAAAAATTAAAGACTTTTTATTAATTCAACAAACTTCTCCATAGCTTATTCTTTCTATAATCTTTGGGGTTTTGGGGTTTTGGGGTTTTGGGG